TAGTAGGGACCCAATTGCTTCTGGCTACCTTCGCCTCTATTTTAGAGTCAATATTCATTTGCCAATAATAAAGTGCAATTTCTACTATGTTTTTTGCATTTGGCAGTTGTGGGGAAATGTGAGCTTTGTGAATCTGGTCCAAAGAAAATTCCAGTTTGGATTTATCAAATGCTTAAAAGTCAAGCAAAAAAGCCTTTGGGTCCTGTGGGGAGAGGAGTTTTCATTGTGGGATCAGGGACAGAGACCAGGATCAGCCAGGCTGGCACCTGCATTGCGCCTGGCTCACACGCATGGCTCCCCAAACACTGAACAGAGCAAAAAGAGGCTTTTCATTAGCTCTGCTACTAAGGCAAACCTTAAAGGCAAAATATTTTCTGTTTATTAAGTCAAAAATAGCAAAAATATCAATTAAAACAATATATCCCCAGTTGTTAGGTAGAGGAAGCAGTGTTTACAGAGACAGCTCCATGACAGAGATGTGGAGAAAAGATCAAAAGATCCGAAAGCTCTGTGTGCCTGAAATATGTCCTGCATACACCCACAGGGCTTGGAAACACTCCTTCCCGAGGGCTGAAAGGTACAGCAGGACGGCTGGTCTCCAGGGTGCCCGAAAATGCCGGGTCAGGAAAAACAGGACCAGCACCCATGCTCCCAGCATTACTGACAATAGCCAGGAGCAGAAACAAAATAGTGGAATATTATGTAGCCTGGAAAAAGAAGGACTTTCTGACCCCTGCTACAGCATAGGTAAATCTTGAGAGCATCATGCTAGGTAAAATAAGCCGGTCACAAAGGACAAATACTGTGGGATTTCACTAATATGAAGGACATGGAGTAGCCGGCTTCCTAGAGACAGAAGGTAGAGTGTGGGTGCCAGAGACTGGGGGAGCAGAGTGAGTGGGTAGGGGTGCAAAGATGGAGAGTTCTGGAGCCTGGTTACACGGCTCGAATGCATTTAACACTACACATGTAAAAATGGTTCAGACGGCAGATTTTGTGTTGTGTGTGTTACAAAAATTCTTCTTAAAAATGTGACTGTATCCAACCTTCTTAGTATGAGAGCGAGCCTTTGCCCATAATATCATGAACCAACCCCAGTGAAGATGAAGATGTCTTTCATTCAGTCTTATTTTCCCCTTGAGACAAGGTCTACATATGTTGCCCACACTAGCCTTGAACTCATGATTTTCCTGCTTCAGCCTGCCAAGTAGCTGTGAGGTCACTGCATCCAGCTCCCATTTGCTCCTTACACGTTTATTAGACAGCTATGTGGCACCAGTAACTCTGCCACCAGATTTTCCGGATGCCTGGTGCACCCAGGCTGCATGGACGGGATTATGCTGCATGGGGAATGAATCTCGAGAGCATTGGGGGTTTCTTTATTTGTGATGCAAATCCCACTGGAGGAGCATTGAATGCTGGTGATTGTGCGGGGAGGAGTGACAGTCACCGGGGTCCCTTTTAGCCCCAGCCCCCTCCCTCCCTGAGGATCCCAAACCTACTGCGCTCACACCCTTCCACATCACGGTGTGTTTGCCAACAGCCCAGGATGTCCCAGTGTGGGCTGCACTTGTCACCCCTCCCACATCCTGCAGGTCACTTCCGGTGACACCTCCGCCCCACTCGGCATCTCCACACCACTTCTAACTCCACGCTTGGGGAGCTCCTGTAGTAACTGCACAGACCAAAATTGGTGGATCCAGCCTTGGAAACAGAGGGCAGACTGCATGGACGTGGGTCCCCACCGTGCCGTCTGCTGTCACGTCTGCTGTCACCATGAGATGATGCAGCGGCTGAGCCCTGGGCCTGCTCTGACCCAGGACCTCGGTGTGACCGTGGAAGGAGTCAGGGTGTGGGCCGTGGAGGTGCAGTGAGCCCTTGGGGGTGGCCTGGTCCACCTGACCGGGCTTGCTCCTAGAAAAGGAGCCAGGGACAGACACACAGAGGGTGATGCCATGGGGACACAGAGAAGACAGTGTCCCCAAGGCATGGAGAGGGGCCCAGGAGAGCCGCCTGCCCACTCGCACCTCAGATTCGGAGCCTGCAGAACTTTGAGGGAGCGCGCCTCTGTGGTCTCAGCCCCATCTGTGTGCTCTGGGGCAAACCGCTGTAGGCTGCGCTGGGCCGGTGGGGTGGCCCGGCTTTATTCCTGAGAATCCCGTGCTGCACATCACATCACTTTTCTTTGACTTTTTTTTCTTTTGGTGCTAATGGGGATCGAAATCAGGACCTTCACATTTAACTATATCCCCAGCCTTTTAATATTTTTATTGTTGTGAGCCTGAGCCTTAAATAACCAAGTTTCCCAGGCTGAGTTTGATTTTGGGGTTCTCCTGCCTCAGCCTGCCATGGTGCTGAGATCACAGTCATGAGCAGCCACCCCAGCGGGCTTCCTTTCTTCCTAACAAACACTCAAGAAGTAAATATCACTAATGTGCACACTGATAGGGCTTCACATCAAGATTTCAATGGACCTCACTTCTCAGGCAGGGGACGAGGGGACCAAACAGCACTGTCCAGGGTTTCTAGAGCCTGTGACTGGTGCCACGCCTACCCTCCTCCCCACCTAACATGTGGAGCTCACTGGATGAAGCGGTCACCCAGAATCAGGAGGCGTTTAGCAGAAATGGACCAGTGACAGTGCCTTCCCCGTGTTATCCCACCTCCGAGACAGGCAATTAAAACGAATTCAACTACACGAAGAGCAAAGCTGTGTGCTGCTCTTCACTGTGTCTGAAGACCGTAAATGTGCTTCTGGGGTGCAGAAGCCAGTGTATATATGATGTGGCTCCTGTGGGGGCTGCAGGGCTGCAGATCTCAGTCGCAGAGACTGGGTGTTTCCCAGAGAACTAGATGCTCAGGATCCAGGAAGGGCAGGGCAGGGAGGAACTGCAGCCCTGAGGAGAGGGAGGGTGGGCTGGAGGCACCCAGCGCAGGTCCTGCCCGAGCTGTGTGTTCCTCTGGTGCAGGAAAGGGAGGAATTCCAGGTGGGTGAGACAGTTATGGATGGGGTGCTGGGCTCCATGGACAGCTGGACAGACCATGACTTAGTGGCAAAGCAATGCAGAACTCCTGTTTATAAAGAGATTTTTTAATGTACAGTGTTCATTTAAAATGTATAGATTCAGCTGGGCACAGTGGTGCTGGTCTGCAATCTCAGCATTCTAGAAGGCTGAGGCAGGAGGATCCAGCTCAGCCTGGACAACTTAGCCACTTCGCAAGACCTTGTCACGATTTTTTTTTTAAAGGCCAAGAATATAGCTCAATGTGAAGGCTCTGAATTCAATCCCTAGTACTACAAAAATGTAAAGAATAAATAAAATTCAATAGTTTTTAGTAGATTCATCAGTAAGATGCAACCATCAAAACCATCATCTTCGGAACATCTTTTTGAGCACAGATGTACCTATTAGCAGACACCACACTGACCATATCCTAATGTCCCTAAACAACCCTGGATCTTCTGCTTAGCCCTAGTAATTTCCTGCTGCCTTGAGCCTCTGTGGCTGGTTTCTGACACAGAGCACAGGCAGCGCGGGTCCAGCCTGGAGCTCAGGGACCACGCTGAGGCCTGGGCTCTGCAGCATCCCCTTGAGCCAGGGTGGTGCAGACGTGAGGGAGGGAGAGGCAGAGGGCTCCGGGACCACGGGTCCCCAGGTTGTCAGCTCCAGCTCTCAGGACAATGGGGGAGCGAGGTCCAGGCTTGAGAGGGGCTGGGGGCAGGCAAAGGGATTTCAAACTGCTGGTTTCTTTCCATTTTCTCTCTGCAAAAACATGTTAAGTCATTTGCTTAAAAGGAGGGTGAGAGGCAGCGTGGAGGATGGGCCACAGGTGTGGTCCTGTGGTTTGGAAAGGGTCAAGGAGGAGCTCAGGAGGAGCTGCAGGGGGAAGATTCAAACCAGGGCACAGCAAGCACCCACCTGCCCGGGAGCTAAATCTCTTTCTTTACCAGCTCCAAAGGGCTGTTTCTACCCCGGTAATAAAGGCATCTTTGGAAGCCAGGTATGTTGGTGCACATCTGTAATCCAGACCCCAGGAGGCTGAGACAGGAGGATCTCAAGTTCAACCCCTACATGGACAATTTAGCAACGAGTGAGAAACTGTCTCAAAATTTAAAACGTGATGGGGATGCAGCCCAATGGGAAGCCCTGGGTTCAACCTCCAGTGCTAGAAACAAACAAACAAAACCCCTTCAGGCTTCCTGGCTATGTGGTAGACTCTGCCGACACACCACCCCCCTTCATTGCAGTTTATTCTGCTAGAACCCTTGAGGGCTGGTCAATGCCCTCTTCATGTTTTTCTAGCAATTGTTTGGCACAAACTAATTACCATCTTTCTGTTTTGTTGGGAATCCACACATATTTGACATGCATTAATTAATAGAGCAAAATTTTCCCACGGCCTTGACCACAAATATGCACTTTGGAAAAGGCTCACTTTAGCTCTGGTGGTATGGAAGAGTCGGTTTTGAAATTCATTCCTGTAGAAGCAAAATTCACATGATATAAAAATCACCCCCTCCTAGGTGAGTAATTCAGTGACACTGAGTGCTTAGCTACACTGTGCAGGCCCTTCCTCTGTCTCGTATCCAAGTCTCCTCAGCACCCCAGAGAGAAACAGCTTTGTGAAGAAGGCTTCCTCAAAGCCCCCTCCTGCCCACCCCCTCTGCGTCCCCAGACTCTCTGCTCCTGTTTGGGACACAGCCCCACAGTGGAGCCGGGGAACATGTGACCTGCGTCTGGCTTCTTCCACTGAGCATCGTGTGCTCCAGAGTCCTCTGGGCCACAGCTCACTTCACGCTTTGGGTGTCTGAGTTGTGCTCCAGCGTGAGCAGGCCATGTTTTGCTATCATTTATCTGTTGATAGGTACTTGCTTACTTTTGGTTTTGGTTTTGGTTTTGTTTCTATAGTGGGTATTAACCCAAGGCTTCTGCCCTGAGCTATGAGGTGTGATTTAAAAAAAAAATACAGTGATTGTTTAAATTTTTAAAGTATTTTTTGTTACAGTAAAAGGTACAGTGTCATCGATCCCCACGTCAAACATTCTTATCCCATCATGCTTGCCCCTTCTGGAGGCAGCTCTGAAGCCATGAAAGTCTTCAGTTGCACTGTCCTGGCTGCTCTGAGGTCCCGAGCTGATTGAAGACATTTCCCTTCTGTGATCGTTTTGACTTTGGGGAAGATCTGGTGAATAAGATGCATGAGAATAATGTCTTGTTTTTGTGAGCCCGATTTTCCATGGGTGGCACTCATCAGCAGCATTCACTGGATATTTGATCATGTCAAATAAAGACACTCCTGCAAGAGGACTGCCAGAACTGCCTCAGAAAGTGACATAAAAGATGGGGTGTGTTTGACAGGAAGGAGAGCATTTTGAGAGGAATTCATGGCAATGTGTCTTTTAATGTAAGAACTTCTAGAAACTCATTCTAAACATTTATCATTTTAATAATACCTCATATACCTCAAACCCTTTTTTATTTTAATTTTGAGGCAGGGATGGCTGCCATCAGGACTCTCCTGTGGGTACCTAGCACAGGCGGGGAGAAGAAGCCAGTCCAGCCCCCACCCCAATAAGCCTGCCAGCTGCCCTGACCTTCAGAGACCCGTAGCCAGCACTGGCCAGGAGAATCAGCCAGCCACACCTTGGAGAAAATGCAAGGGTTTGGAGAAGCCTGTTCCGCACCCCACTGCCTGCCTCCCTGGGAGCCTGCACTGGGAGAAACCCAGCTGCCTGACCCACCCCTACACCCTGGATGGGCAGCCAACATGGGAAGTGCCTGGACTCCAGAGAAATCCAGGAAAGTGTGAAGACAGTGGAGCAAAAGGTGATCTCTGGCCTCCAGGCCACACAGAACAAGTCCAGGAGACGTGGACATGGGAGAAAGCAGAAGTCACACACCTGAAATTTCTGGGGCAATGGCAACCAAAGTAAAGAAACTACTTCATGGGGCTGTAAAAGAAATCAGATCAGAAATAATATGTCAGGTAAGAGAAGAAATGACAAACATAATAAAAGTGTTGCTAGATTTTTTTTTAAAAGTGGACCATAAGATAATAAAGATAATAAAACCTTGAATAAACAATATAGAGAAGAATTGGAATGCATGAAACAGATTCAAATAGATATCCAGGGAATTAAAAACTCCACTGAAATCCGGCAAAACTGTCTCAAAGAAACTGAAGATAGACTCTCAGACCTTGACAGGATGGCAGGTAGCCATCACAAAAGGAAAGATCTCTTAAAAATAACAAAGAATCAGGAAATAAAAAGCAACGGCTGCAAGACAATGCAAAGAGAAATAATTTCCGAGTGACAGGTGTCAGCGAAAAAGCAGGAGTCAACACAAATGGCATCAAGAGACTATGTAGGAAGTGACAGCAGAGAAATTCCCAAGCATGGGAAGAGGAGCAGACGACAGCTAAGTGAGGAATACAGAGCTCCAGCTAGCCACAGCAAACTAAATCTACACCCAGACATAGTAATCAAGATGCTAGAAATTCAGCCCAAGAACAGAATCTTACAGTCTGTTAGAGAAAAGAAACAGATCACCTATAAAGGAAAACCCATCAGAATCATGACAGACTTCTCAACACAAACCATCAAGTTCAGAAGAGGTTGGAGGGAAGTATTTCAAGTCCTGAAAGAAAATAACCTCCAACCCAGACTGATGTACCCTGAAAAACTATTTTCCAGAATTAATGGAGAAGTAAGATACTTCTATGACAAAGAACAATTGAAAGAACTGATGGTCACCAAATCAGCCCTGCAAAGAGTACTGAAGGACATTCTAGAGAGAGAGAGAGAAAAATGACCACAGTTCAAGGAGCCAGCATGGCAGACAATTAATGGAGAGGAAACGTAGGGAGCCAACAGCAGGAAGAAAGTATGGCAGAGGTGGCCCAGCGCACGTCGGTCTTAACCATTAATGCAGGTGGCCTCAGTCCAGCAATAAAAAGAACACAAGTATAGTGGATCAGGAGGCAAGATCCGTCAATATGTGGTATACAAGCAACACATTAACTCAAAAAGACATTCATAGACTGAAAGTCAGAGGAGAGGAAACAATGCTCCATGTGACAGGGAACCAGAAGAAAAATAGAGAGAGCTTGATCATCTACCAAAAAAGGGATAGGAAAGATGTGACATTTTTATACAATGGAAAGCTACTCAGTTATAAAGAAGGATACTCACGAGGCTCCTGTAGGTAAATGGATGCAGCAGGATCATGATCCTGGTGAAATGGTTCAGAGTCACATGGGTGAACGTCCTGTTGTCTCCTAGTATAAAAAATGGAAGAGTTAGTGGGATCCAAAATGTACAGTAGATATTGTGAAAGGGAAAGGGAAGGAAAGGTCTAAAAAGGGAAGGCAATAGCCACTGGTAATACTCTATTGTCCTGTTTGAAAGTGCCTTATGATTTTCATTGTTCTGTTTAGTTTGGTTTTATTCCATTTTTTTGGTTTGGTTTTATCATATCTGATGGCATGGGCAGCTATTTAGAAGATAACAAGAGGCATTATGGTAGCCATTATTTATTTCCTATTATCTTGTTTTGAAGTCCTGTATCGCTTTCATTGTTTTGTTTTGATTGGTTTTATTCTGTTTTCATTAGGTCTGATAGCACAGGCGCTATTTGGAAATTAACAAGAGGCATTATGGCAGCCATTGTGGATTTCCTATTAGCTTAAAGTCCCATATCATTTTCACTGTTTTGTTTTGATTGGCTTTATCGTGTTTTATTTTGTTTGGTTTTATTCTCTTCAAAATAAAAATATAAATAAAAATGTTGAGACAGGGTCTCACTAAACCACTAAGCAGCCCACTTTGAGCTCACGCTTGGGGTCCTCCTGCCTCAGCCTCCCAGAATCCTAAGATTACAGCCAGGTACCACCTTGCCTGACTGGGCACTGGGTTTTTTTCCACATCTTGGCTGTTGAGAGTGGTGCTGATTCGGACCGGAGGGCAGTGTGCTTCTGAAACAGGCCACGCACCCCCCTCCGCCCTCTTCTCTCCCCGCTCCTCTTTCCCAGAGCACAGCTCCCACTTTCTTAAATGTCAGCAGGGCTGTAAAAGTCAGGCATCTCACAATCCCCCTCACCCCAGCCTTGCCCTTCTGTCCCAACACAGGCTCCCTGCAGAAAAGGTGACAGCCTGGAAGCGGCCCCACTGACTTTGGGAAATTTCTGGACCTCTCTGTGTGTCCCCAGGAGCCCGCACACCTGCAGAGACATCAAGCTGTGCGCAGAGCCAGCGACCCGAGAACATGACAGTCACTCGTACCTTGTCATTATTAACCCTGCCTCTGGCTGCTCCAGCACCTCAGGGCACACCGTCTGCCTATTGTTTTCCACTGCTGGAGAGCAGCCCCATCGCGACCCCATCCTGTCACTAGGGTCACCCCATCATCCACAACACAAGGAAGTCCGTGAAAGGGTCCCTGAAGTGCTGTCCCTTGAGGGCCCTGCTGCCTGCCCTCGGCTACCTGTTCTTGCATCTGTGCATTTTTACCGTTAGAGGAAACTGCAGTGGCTGCCCGGAACAGCACTGCCCACCCCGGAGCAAGCGGCCGCACCTGGGCCAGCACCACCACCCTGTGCTGCAGCTCTGCGCACCAACGGCACGTAATTGTTTCGAGGTTGGACAAGAGCTGTGGTTCTCCCTGAGGGGCAGCTTTCCCCTGAGGGACTATTTGGCAAAAGCGTGGATGGCTATGCCTGACTGTCACCTGGGGACAGTACTGCTGGCCTCCTGAGTGAGGGCCATGCTGTCCCCGTCCTGCGGTGTCCCCTCCCCAGTACAAGAGCCTGAAGCACCAAGTCAGAGAGGAGAAGCCCTGGCTCAAACTGAAAGCTGCATTTGCTAAAACATTGTATCTGAGCCATGAGAGAAAGAGAGAGCTTGCCCGAAAATAATCTGCGTGGTTAGGAGATGTTTCTCAGCTCCGCCACGTGTGAGAACACTTCTGACCTCTGTTCTGGAGTGTGGAAGCCACAGGGCTGGGCGATGTCCTGTCAACATGACTGGCCACCCTAACTTAAATTCCAGACTCAAGTGACAGTGAGCTCCTCAGCTCACTACACAGCTGGCTCCAAATGCTCTCCTAGCCAGGAGCTTCACACTGGTAATCCCAGCACTCTGGGAGGCCGAGGCAGGGAGATTGCAAGCTCGAGGCCAGCCTGAGAGACTTAGTGTCCCAGCAACATCCTGTCTCAAAATAAATAATAAAAAAGTCTGGGAGTGCAACTCAGTGCAAAGGCCCTGGGTTCAGTGCCTAGTACTGCAGGGGGGGAGCACCCCGCCCCCATTCTGCCCGTGATGAGGCGGTCTCTGGTCTGGATCACTCCAATGCCTCCTCTGGCTTTCTCGCTCCAACTCTATCCGGCAGGCAGGTGCTCCAAAACGCCGATTCAATTATTCAACATTTTCTGCTATGTAATGAAAATCTGTTCCCTTCAAATTTCCCCAAATCACTTTAAGGGAAAGAATTAACTGTTCAGGAAATAAATATTTATGCATATCGCTCCCGACCTCTGCCTCTACAAATTATGGGAGGGAGCACAGCACCGACTTGACAAACACATAAACCTCCAAAACCAAATTTCAGAGCATTTAAAAATCCCTGGGATTAACATCCATGAGCAGGAACCGGAGAGGGCCTGTCTTCCTTGGTTTCCTTTAATAGTCTTCCACAAATAATCAGAAGAACAAACATTAATAAAGGGACAATACTAAGCCAAAATATTTGTTCTCCCCTACGCTTTGTTAATAATTCCCTTACATCCGCCGAAACTCACTTTTCAGCCATGGACTAATAAAATGAGATCACCCACAAGAATTTAATGTGGCTTCAGATTTCTGCTCTTGTTTTGCACACAAATGAAGAGTTAAGAGAGGAAGTGGCCACAGGGACAGGAGTGTGTTTTATCCGGATGTTGCTGTATCATCCATCCTACAGTTGACCAGGGATTTAGCTCAGCAGCATAAGGGCCAGCCTGGCAACTGCAAGGTCTTGAGTTCGATCCCTGGTACCAAAATATAAAAAATGAAATCACCACACAGTTGGGTGGCACAGTGCAAGCTGCTGTCAGCCTGTGATTTGAGCCCTAGGCCTGATCTTCTGTCCATTCTGAGAACATCAGTGCTTCAGCTTTCAGAGATGCAAGCCCAGGTGCGGGTGCTGCTGGGGTCTGCAGTGGCCTCCTGTATTCATCTGTTTTTTGTTGCTGTAACATAATACCTGATACTGGCTGTTTTATGTAGCAAAGAGTTTCATTTAGTTCACTGTATTGGGGGCTAAAAGTCCAATACTGGACAGCCCCATCCATGTGGCCTCTGATGAGAGACTCTGGGCTCTATCACAACATGGCAGAGAAGCAGGAAGGGAAGTGGCATCATGCAGAAGGGATCAAGTGTGTGACTTGGACTTACTTTATAACAATCCACTCTCAAGAGAACTAACCAAGGTCTTGAGAGAACTCAATTAGTCCCTTCCAGGGCAGTGTCTTCAATGACATAATCACCTGCTACTAGACTATAATGACTTAAATGTCCCATCTGCTTCCAGCACTGGGAGATGACTCAGACACACTGAGGCAGGCTCAGCTAATCCTCAACCAGCAGCAGACAGGTATATCCCAAGTGGAAGCCTGCTGTGTTGTGCAGGCTTGGGGTGGTTGTTATGAAGCATGATCACAGCACTAGCTGACTAATACATATCCAGGGTATTCTCAGACTAGGGGTACAAAGGTGAGAAAGTTTTTTTTTAAAAGCTTTCAGTGCCCAAGTAGCTCCTGGTGGAACAAGGGAGCAAATTTGCAGACCAGTGAAGGACACTGAGATGGGTGCTGTTACAGAGGCATGGCACATGGCTATGGAGACAGAGGCAGGGTGGGGCAGCTCGCTCCTAGGACCAAGGGTCTTTCTCAGGTAAAGTTAGGGAAGGTGACTTGAGGTAAGAGTGAACTGATTTGCCAGGCAGCAAGGCAGGGGGAAAAGGTTTTTCAGCCAAGAAGAAAAGCATGTGCAGGGGCTGGGGATTTAGCTCAGCGGCATAAGCGCCTGCCTTGCAAGCAGGCAGTCCTGAGTTCAATCCCCGGTACCGATAAAAAGGAAAAAGACCAAAAAAAAAGAAAAGAAAAGAAAAGCATGTGCGGCAGCCAGGATCTCCTGGCCATTTGGTCACTGGTTGGAACACGAGGGTTAGCGCAGGGGACAGAGGGGCGGGTGGGTGCTGCACCACACCCCACAGCTGGCAGCCCAGCAGCCTCTCTCCAAGCTTCCTAGAAGAATCCAGCGCCACCTCTGAGGGTACTGAGGCTGTGAAGAAGTGGAAGGAAGATTCAACCATCAGAACAACAGCAAGAAAATCACCCTCTTGGATGGTAGGAGAGCTGACAGAGGAGAGTCCATTTCCTGACTGCTGAGAGACAGATCAAGGGTACAGGAAGCAGATCGCATCATTCTGACTGACAGCACTCGAGCAGCAACAAAGAACCGGGAAGAAAATCAGCAGCGGCAGCCAGAACGCTCGTTATCGGCTGAGATCTCCTGGACTGGAAAAACGAACGCTGTCAGCCGCACGAGATGCCCCTGTCTGGGCCCTGGACGAGGTGTCTCCCGCAGAATAGCTATGAGGTTTGCTGTCTGAGCAGTCTGCAGTTCTCAGAGTGTGGGTGTCACTGCCTGGGAAGGACCTGGGGCTGTAAACTCAGCCTCCCCAGAGCCCAAACAATGGGGAGGAGAGCAGGGAGGCTTCTGGCCCTGGATGTTGAAGGGGGCTGGAGCTTCCATTGTTCTCACGGTGTCAAGATGCTCACGGGAAATCGTGTGTTGCAAATCTTCCATTCAAATCCCAAGGTACAGGACGCTCGCAGGCTACCAGACAGAAGCCAGGATCCAGAAGCTTCCTGTGCTTGAAGGAGGGGGCTGGCCCAGGCTTCCAGAAGCTGGGGAACACGGAAAGCCGGTGCAGGAGACACTGTGAGCTCAGTCTGAAGGGCACCACTGCACAGGTCCTGAGAAGAAAACAGGGCTGGTGTGCTGTGGTTTGGATCTTGGGGGTCTCCCAGAAGCCCCTGTGTCCCCACCTTGATGCCATTGGTGGACAGAACCACTGGGAGGTGGGGCCTAACAGCAGGATGTTAGGTTGCTAGAGTGTGGTGTCCTTGAGGTGGCATCCAGACCCCCCACACCGTGCTTCCTGGGCACCATCAGGGAGCAGCTCTGCTCCATCACACGGGGCCACCATGATGCTCTGCCCCACAGCAGCCCAAAAGCA